TATATATATATCAAAAGAGTCAGCATCGGAGAAGAAAAGTAATTCCCGTCGGTGAGATCAGTTTCGTAAAAAACAGAATGGCAGCAAAAAAGAGATGGAATTTACTTACGTTTCCTCTTATTCGCCGTTTTATTTATGTCCGCGCACCATGTCCGACGATCCATTTGTACGATTCGCATCGAGGACACGCCGGAAGTCGAGCAACGATGCAGAGAACCCAAACGACGATCATACGCGACTTTTTCAAGTCGAAATTCAGCAAATTCTTGCTCGAATCGTTCTCTGGGCGATCCAGTCTCCGTGGCACACGTGTGATACTTACCGGCGACGATTAGGGCTACTACTTTCAGTTGAACGTAAAAGCCAGTTTGTTTTCTATCGTCGAAAAACTTCCACAGTTAAAGCGGTGATATTTTCTTTGGAAAACTCGTCGTCAAGAGATTCTCGCTACCGGATATATCGCTCGATTTTTGCACGGACGCAGACCGCGCTCACGTCGGACCGTTCGCCCTTTACAGTAACGTGCAAGTTCCTAAGACACTGTTTCATCGTGTTTTCCGTTGTCTCATCCTGTTGAACGAATTTCGTAAGCCTCTCAGATTATTATAGCCGCTCGATCGGGAGTCTACATGAATCCGTTAAGCGCGAAACGATTTCGAAGCGTTTTTACAAATCCCATATTCGTCTAGAAATTGCCGAGAGATATTTTCAATTGTAATTAGCTTTAACGGGCGCGTGTAGATTCTGATCGACGCCAGTGTATAATATACGTAGTTGTACAGACAGATACGCCGGTCCCTATTTGATACAGACACGGCACTCGACGTGGGCGCGATCCATAATAAACCATAACGAGTTGTGTCAGGTATTTTTACATTCCAACGCTGCCTCGATTCGGATCGTCGCTTCGAATAACCACGATCACGTCTACATAGATAATATGTACGTTAATATACATAAAGGCATAAAACGGAGGACCGTTTCACACGTGTGTGCACTATACAATAATTTATTGTTTTGTATTTTTAGAGTATAGAAGAAAAGAGATAAAACTTACTAATTCATTATTAATTAAATATATCATATAGTTCTTTTTTTATATATATGTATACATATATCTACATGCAGATTGTATCTGTGAAATACTGACGAAACTGTAACGCATACACACTGTTGGCAAAGGCAGAGAATAAAATAGCTGTTAAGAATCATTGGTACAAGCACTGTTGACAAAAAATTAACTACGTAGGAAGAGTACGTGAGAACGCAGAACGTATAGAGAGAACGATTTTTACTACTGACATGAACAACTTTAGTATGTCCGTATAATAATCACTTTCTTTTATTTCTTTTGGCCGATTTTTCATTTGATAACAGAGACCGACACACGCGTATGATTCAAGTTTCAGTTTCTCGATGCACTAGGTGACACGAGATCCATAAAAGACGAGCACATTTTCAAACGATGCTTGCTACGTATGGTTTATCCTAGGAGAGTTAGAATTAACTGGTCGAGGACAGATTAAGGAACCCTACCGTCGTTGTTAGAATTCTTTTTATGACTCGAGCCGAAGTACCTGGGGGAAAGAGATTTTATTATTTTAGTTTTAGTAGAAAATTGTGATTAGTGTGTTTTTAATAAAAATCGAGCTTGGGGCAAAATTCGAAATTATTTCATTTACTTGACACCCCCTCGACGCAATTCTGGTGCATTATTTCGGTATTATTTATATTTTCTTAATTTTTAATATTCAGATTTTAGGTTTTTAAAAGAAATTGCTTGATCCTCAGAGTCCTTCGGTTTCGGTGATCTACGTAAAAATTACTATAGTACCCTTAGGAGTCGTAAGGAATGATCATACTTACTTGAATAATATAAATTATGATAATATTAAAATATTATTGAATATATTTCTATTTTTGCGTGAATGCTTACGATTGTTAGTTGTTGGTTATTGTTATCTATTTGATGAGAGTTTTTAATGTTATGCATACCGTGAGAAGACGAGAAACAAAAAACATGAAATGAAAACACATTATTAAATTCTCGATTACGTTTCAATTATAATTTCGGATGAATTCGTTTGGAATCACTATGTTCGTTTCTTTATAGTTCTCTTAAGCGTAGGATAAATTTGTGTAAAGTCGCCCGATTTCTACAGTTCTGAATGATTTTCCAATCAAATTCAACGCCAAATGTAATCTACATGTTTTAGATAGGATAAGTAGAAAAGATCGTGTTAAAAAATTGAGGTCCTGGGTGCATTAAAAAAAATCACCGACGCTGCAGAAGCCGATCGCGACGAAGACAGACACACCGTGCAACGAAGAATCATCACGAACCAAAATCGTACAAATTTTATTATCGAGCTTTTTCATTTTTAGAGATAAAGCGGAACAGTCGGGTCGGCGACAGCGGCGGCGGTTTCGCGGTTTTTACTGCACCTACGATCTCGATATCTCGATGTCCATTTTCTTGGTGTTTTCTTCAGAATGATCTTCTGTTTTTTTACATTGTGAAAATACACATCTCGACCAAAATTACCTCTGAACGAAACGCGTTTCGCGGTTTACCTCATCTAATTCCTGAATACGTGTAATAATAGTAATAAATACTGATTAATGAATAATATTAATAGAAGGGAATGAAGAAGTCAGTGGAAGAAGACCATTAGGATCGGTGGGGCGTGAATGGAGCTACCTGTGAATGAAGTTTCATATAAGATATATAAATGTTAAATAAATAAAAAAAAATCGATGATATCTATAAAATACATGTACGTATGATAATATACGAATATATACATATATATATATACATAAAAAATACAGACACTTTTCACGCAAGTAATAATTGATTGAACCTCAGTAGTGGTCAGTAGAGTTAACAAAGATTAATGGCAGAACTTCGAAATGTCCTACGATCAGACGTTTCTTAACATGTTAAAAGGGTGAGGGGAGAGCGTGTGCTTCGAAAACAGTGGATCGTGCACGCGATATCGATTTTAATGTCTAAACGCTTTTGCCATACTTCTTTGAACTATCATTGAGATGATACGATGCTCAAATTGTACGTAGTGACGTTTTACTTAGCAGACAGTGTCCTAGAACGGAAGAATGTGGTGCGTCGTAAACTTTCTGTACGATCATCCCCTTTCAGTTCAATTCCAAATTGCAAATATTAGTCTGAACCGGAAGTTCGTGCGTCTCTTTTATCATTTCAATTTGTATAATTTTTTCACGTCAAGAAACCTTATATACAAGTGTTATGT